ATCAATTCTCATTGGGTTATAAAATCAAATAGAGTTCAAATTGGTTTGTTTGCAGCTCTTTAATGTAAAGGTCACATTAACATGACAATGAATTCCTACAATTCCTCTGTAGAAATGAACATGTGAACATGAAACACACCTGCAATGATCAACTTTTGTAAATGGAGATTTTTTTAATAACAAAGGTGTGTGAGAGGAACCAGAGGATTCTCTGAGCCAGACAGAATCTAAAGTTGTGTTTTATTTATTTTAGGGCTGTGAGCTCCCAGTAAACTGGTCAGTTTATTGGTCAATGTGTTCTGGCTCCACCAAAGATCTGACTGGTCGTCTTTTATTAAATTAATTAATGTATGTGTTCATTTCATCAGGAGGAAAGTACCAAGTGCTAATGGGGGTGTTTTCAGAGCACCTGGTTTGACAGTCTGTCTCCAGAACATTCCCCTAGTTTTCACTATTTTGGATTAGTCCAACCTGGTCCAGTGGTTTGATGAATATTTATTTAATTTTCAGTGTTTCATTAACCGTCAGTCTGCTCTACCATGTCAAAGACATCCACAGAGTGGCAGTATTTTACAAAAGATTTTGCACTTCTGTTAGTCCAATGAACCGAGTTTCACTTCTGAAATGTTACTGTATCAGTATCAGTTTTCTGATAAATCAGAATGAAGTTGCTGATCCAAATACCTAATTATTTATAAATGGAAATATTGGAAATAGTCAGGGGTGCCCAACCTTTTTCATACAACTGTACATATCCCAGCTCAACCTGACATATCACCTAAAAACAGTAAGCTAACCTGTTAGGTTGCTCCAAAAGTGCATTTTTGGTTGGAGCTCCCCGTGACCTTCACTTCACACCAGTGGGTCTTCATACAGAACATTCTCTCTCTTCTTGTCCCGTTGGAGCAGCTAACTATGACCTGTACTTTACATGTACACAGAAGTGGGGTTGACTTTGACATTTTATTTGGAATTTTATTTTATATTTATATCTTTGAAACATTGATATTAATGTATGCATTTGCAGTGCCTCAGTCATAGCCATAAATACAATGGTACTAATATTGGAATAATAATTTATTTTTGTTTTTCAGTTTATTGTTGGCCAAGAATTTTAATTTCGGTGCATCCCTAATTGATAGTATCCTTATTGGATTTGAGCCGTTTATTTTCACCTGGACAGATAGATTAAAAGAAAGAAAGAAAGAACTTTATTAATCTCTTGGGAGTTCTCTTTGGGAAATGACGGCTCCAGCAGCAGTACAGCAGCAGTACAACAAGAATATCAATACAAACAAGAGGAGCAGCAACAGTGGATATAAGTAACTAGTACTACTATATGTAGATATTAGTAGATTGGATTAGTGGGTTAGTGGTGGGTTAGTAGTCGTAGATAGTTGTAGTATAGTAGTAGTAGTGGGTTAATAGATGATTATTGTTGTTGGTTACAACGGTTGAACGAATCTGAGACAATGAATCTGTGCAGCCCGAGCTGCCCGTCACAAATCAACAATCCTGGTAGAGGACAAATGAATGTAAAACTCACTTTGACAATTAGTGAGACAACACTGCACAAATCTAAGGGACGCATATGTGTGCCCCCTCTAAATCCCAGAAAACTGACAAAAATCAACAAGCTCACCATGACGGTGTAGTATGTGTGCCCCCTCTAAATCCCAGAAAACTGACAAAAATCAACAAGCTCACCATGACGGTGTAGTGACCACTGAGACCAGCGGTACTGCTACAGCTACCAGCAGTGTGAGTTATGCTCAGACGTGTAATCAGAGATGGTACACAACAGATTCTGGACCATGACCAGAGTGGCTGAAGTTTGAAGATGGGATAATGTTTTGTATCCCATGCTGTGACAAAGCAACAGATAAAAGATGATTAGAAAGAGTCAAGTCCTCCAGACTGAAGTTCTGTCTCTTTTCCAAAGTACAGTGGAGCTCCAAGATACAAGCTACTCCAAATACTCCAAATACTCCAAATACCAGATTACCAGATTTTTTTCCACTCGACAATCTCGCTGTCTCCCTCGCTGTCCCTCTCTGGGTTATTTTTGTTTTATTATTTAATATTATCAATATGTTTGTTTATATCTATGTTTTTGATGTTTAGATGGGAAGTTAATTTAATTATTTAATAGTTTATTTCTGGGGGGCTGGAACTAATTAATTGGTTTTTAGTGATTTTTTAATGGGAAAATTGGATCTAGAGACGAGTGGATCGACAAACGAGTGACTGTTGTGGAACAGATTAAACTGGTATCTAGAAGGTCCACTGTAGTTCCATCAAGGGACACTGGACTTCAGGTTTTTCTGAAGATGTTCCACCTCTCATCCAAGAGGCTTCTTCAGTGACCCAGTGACTCTAACACCCCCCACCCACACCTCAACCCTTGTGACCCCCACATTCCTCCCTTTGGTATTGGGTGTGCCCCCCCCCATCCCCCCTCTCTCCCTTTCTTCTTCCTCTC